AGAGAGAGAGGAGAGAGGAGAGAGAGAGAGGAGAGAGAGGAGAAGAGGAGAAGAGAGAGAGAGAGAGGAGAGAGAGAGGAGAGAGAGGAGAGAGAGAGAGAGAGAGAGAGAGAGAGAGAGAGAGAGAGAGAGAGAGAGAGAGAGAGAGAGAGAGAGAGAGAGAGAGAGGCGGAGAGAGAGATGGGGAGAGAGAAAGGGGACTCGTACTGAGTGGTGAGTAGGTACAGAATTACGTTGCTGCAGCACGCCGCTGACCACAGGTGACCTCAGCACAGCCACAGCACACTGTTGACCTCAGGTGACCTCGGCAGGTACACTGCTGACCTCAGGTGACCTCCACACGGTACACTGTTGAAGTTTTGACCTCAGGTGACGTGATTGCGTTACACAGTTGACTTCAGATGTCCTCGATACGGTCGGTAATTGTGATCCAAGGTGACCTCACATGGCACACTGCTCTGCCTTCTCACGAGCTCACATGCAACCTAGACAAGGTCGCATGGCTCATAAGTGATTTTGAAACGGGTTTTTAGCAGTCTTTAGGCTGTGACGAGACGTAAAGACCAACATACCTTACAGTATCTTCACATTCATTCCGAGGCCCAGGTCTGGATTTGGTCAAGTAGGTCGGAAAGTGGGCTATACAGTATACACGGTCACTCAGTATTTTTTAAGAACAATGTAAAATGTGGCGCTGGGCACAATTATCCTTACTTTCCAACAGCAAACCCATACGGCCATAGTAGTGGTGTGTTAAGTCATTTCGTGTATACCACCGGCGGGTTTCCGGCCTCAAATACGGCAGCTCTACCGGTCCGTGAAGTGGCCGATAGGCACCTTTATCGACCTTGGACGGGCGGCATCCAGCGGCGCCGCGCCCCCCTGACGCTGTGTCCGCAGTCACCGCTGTGTTGCTGAGGGGTGGAGTGCTGTGGGACGTCACAAGGCACCAGGACTATCCCCGCAGCGTGCGCAGGCCCAGGATTATCCGAGGACCGGGACCGCCACCATGCTGGAGACCCTGCTGGCGGTCGTGTGGTGGCCGCTCTCCTGGCTGCTGCGGCCGCTGCCGCTGGCCGTCATCGCCATCCTCCTGACGCTCGCCTACCGCCGCATCACGCGCGACCACGCGTTCTGGACGTCGCGCGGCGTGCCGGGACCGCCGCCCACGTTCCTCTCGGGCCACAACTTCCCCAACCCGCGCTGTTTCTACGAGTTCGATCAGTGGCTCTACTACGAACAGGGCGGCAAGAAGATGTGCGGCTTCATTGAAATGATGCGGCCCGTGTTGTACGTCGGCGATCCGGACCTGATACGAGCCATAACCATCAAGGACTTCGACCACTTCGTGGACCGCCGTGATTTGGTGATCAGCAAGTGTATGGAGGACATGATGCCGTCACTGCGCGGTCGGAAATGGAAGGAGGTGAGAGCCATCATGTCTCCGGCCTTTTCCAGTAGTAAGCTGAAGGCGATGCACGAACTCTGCCTCGAGAGCGCCGACAACCTGAGTAACTACCTGCAGGAGACGACGCGCCAGCACGGTGATGTCGAGATGAAAGAGGCGGCGGGTCGCTTCACCATGGACAACATTGCGTCCTGCGCGTTCGGCGTCAACTGCAACTCGTTCAAAGACCCGAACACAGAGTTTGCCAAGCACGCGTCTGTGTTTTTTCCGACCGATGAGTGTGTACGACTCACTGCGTCTGGCTTTGCTGATGGTGCTGCCCCGCTGGCTGGGACAGCTGCTGCCAGAGCGCAGCGAAGCAGCCGCAGAGTTCTTCCGGCGCGTGGTACTCACCACGATAGCGCACCGGGAGGGAGCCGGGGACGCCGGCAGACGCGACTACCTGCACCTCCTGCTGGAGGCCCGCCAGCAGCACGGCGAGCACGTGCTGTCCAACGACAGCATCGTGGCCAACTGCGTGCTCTTCTACGTGGCCGGCTACGACACGACGGCCACTGTGATCACGTTCGCCTGCTACGCGCTGGCCACGGAGCCGGCCGTGCAGGCGGCGGCGCGTGACGAGCTGGACCAGGTGCTGGCGCGCCACGGCGGCCGGCTGACCTACGAGGCTGTCTCGGAGCTGCGCTACCTGGACCGGGTGATCAGTGAGACGCTGCGTCTCTACTCTCCCTCCATGCGCATTGAGCGCGAGTGCTCGCGCGACTACCGAGTGCCCGGCACCGAGCTGACGCTGCCGGCCGGCACGCTGGTCGCCATGCCCGTCATCACCATGCACCGTGACCCGGAGTACTTCCCGGACCCGATGCGGTTTGACCCGGACCGCTTCCTGCCGGAGGAGAAGGAGAAGCGCCACCCGTGCGTGTACATCCCGTTCGGCAGCGGGCCGCGCAACTGTATCGCGCAGCGGTTCGCCCTGTTCGAGATCAAGGTGGCGCTAGCGTGTGTGCTGCGCGACTGTCGTCTGGAGAAGGCGCCGGCCACGCCGCCGGCGCCGCTGCGCCTCGAGCCCACTGCGTTCCTGAGCACGCCCGCTGACCCCGTGCGCGTGCGGGTGGTGCCGCGCACAGACCGGGCGGCGTCGGGAGGCTCGGTTCCCGCGGCTGAGGCCCCCACTGAGTCGGGCCCGGCCTCCCGTCCGACTGAATCGGACCCCGCTCCCCGACCGGGCACCGCTGCTCAGTAGCCCGTGCTAACCGTCCGTGAGGGTGTCTGTAAAGTGGTCAGCATTAAGTGCTCCCAATCAGTATGTCTGAAGAACGCTTCATACGGGTCTTTTCGTAGTCAATATTTCTTCCACTACGATATCCGCAGTAGCATCTCCATTAAAAGCAAGCTAATTGTTATGCATGAGTAAAAACATCCACCAGTGATCCTTGCTGTGATAATTTTGGAGAAAATAGACTTAACACTAATGGTTATTGGCCTCTGCCCCTATCAACGATGCCTCGTCACTACTGGCGCATTGGAAATAAATAACTGGGTCATTGCTACGGCTGTTGGTTTGCGAACGTGGAAGCAGAGGGCCCTTACATGAAAATGCAACATGAGAGCGAAAAAATATCATTGCGATTTTACAATCTAATACTCAGCTCATCTACGAATTTGTTCCTACGTAAGCGTAACACTGTACAGTGTACACCGATACGCTGCTGTAGCACATCGTCTGTCTGCAATGGAAACTTGTCACATTCTACTGTTCAATGACTTCTAGCGCTAAGAATCAATGCAGTCTATGCATCAATGCAGTCTATGCAGTGTATACCGATTCCGTTTACTCCAAAGTTAATGTTATCTGTTTCTAAACGGTCAAAGATATATGTTATGAGTGGCACATATATTCAAGTCACAAAAATAAAACTACAATCACCTCCACATTACCGATGATAATGTCAAAGTCCATCCATCAGGCGGCGACGTCTTCACTTCATTCGCCTCTCGGTCTCGCTGTTAGCACCGCAGCGCCCCCTGCCTATCGGACTGACAGCTCCTCAATACCGCGAGAGGGCTGTCATTGGTCACTTCGTCAAACAGCCCTCTGTCACTCTGCCCAGACCCCCTCTGTCCTCCCGCTCGGAACCCCCTCTGTCCTCCCGCTCGGAACCCCCTCTGTCCTCCCGCTCAGGATCCCCTCTGTCCTCCCAGACTCCCGCGTCGGTGTCTCAGGGCGGCGACGAGCCGTCGCTGCCGCCGCCGCCGCCCGCACTGCTCTCGGAGTCGGTGGCCAGGTCATTGCGCAGCACGTGTGAGGGCGGCGCCAGCGCGTGGTACGCGGGTCGGATCCGCTGCATCCAGTCGTCACTCTCCAGCCACGGGTAGTCGGAGACCACCATCAGCTTCTCCAGCATGTTGTACAGGTTGGTGATGTCGCCGTAGCTCTGCAGCAGCTCCGTGTAGTCTCTGGACGCACGGCGCGACACATCCGCGTGTGACTTATCGGATCATTGAGACTAGGCCTTAGGTATGGTATTTTGCTGATTTTGCGACGCTGTGGATCGTTCACGAGGCTTTGGCAGATTAGTAAAACAACGTGGGAAGCGGAAAACTTCCATTTTTTGATGATATTCAGTAACCTCAGCTCAGAATTGACCTAAGCGAAATATGACTTCATACTTTTGAATGTACCATGTACATCGCCTTCTCCCAATCTTTCCGTTATTCTTACTTTTTGAGTTAGTCGTGTCAAACCATTTACATCCCACCACTGGTCATGGCACGGCGAAATAGGCCAAACCCCAAACCGAGCGCGGGTTACGTGGGGCTTTATTTAAGAGGTTCCATTTAAATCAATGTGGCTTGCTTTGCTCTGCATTACTTTTAGATATTTTGATCAGATTAAACCGATACGACAGCCCCCATACGACAACTACAACTAATAAAAATGATTGCGAAAGACGGACATTTACTTCGAATCCATTAGACATTACGTACTATTAATCTGATAACGGGCTTTAATAACTTAAATCTGATAAAGGAAGTAGAAATGCCACCTCAGCATACTGAGCATATGGTGTATGTCATCCCTGATACCCCCGCCCCCCTCCCTCCCCTCCCCCCGACACCCTACGTTGATCAAACACCGGCGTGTCACCCGTCTGCTCCTCCCCGCCGACCCACCTCTGAACGGCCGTGTCGTTCTGAGCGCGGCGCAGCTGCTGGCGCGCCTGGTCGGCCGGCGGCAGCCGCGCGCGCAGCTGGTCCAGCCGGGCCCGCAGCCGGTGCTGACGCTCCAGCGCCGCCGACAGCTCGGCCTCCAGCTGCGTCAGACGACTCTTGCGCGACCGGTCGGCGTCGGCGTGGTCGGTCAGCAGCTGTTCGCCTCTGTGGGTCGGTCAGGGATGGGAAAATGAGGCGCAGAGCTGCGGCCACCGTCCAAAAGGGACAGGGAACACCGGCAGAGCTAATACCCGCACCAATGGACAGCGAACATTGACACAACCAACGCCCACACCACGGCACAGCCACACGTCCTAGGCAATAGATATGGCACAGCGAAATGTTGACACGACGAGCAGCGGCGTTTAGCTGAGCCAGATAGCCGACTAAGGCATGATCCAGCAAACGATACCGACACACACACACGCTATATCATGTTAGTTTGTGAAACAGAAATCCAAAAGCTCATAAAGATTAACCCGGAAAGTTCAATACATGATTACTACAAACTCCAATAGAGTTCAGGGGACGCTAAACTAGGCATCTCTCGTCTATCCGTCAACACTTTGCGTCGCCGCTGACCGCGCACAGGTCGCACAGGCCTGTGCATGATTCAGTACCACAGGTCACAGGTCCACAGGTCAGTCCCAACTCCCACGGGTCGCCGCACTCACTGCCCGTCTGGTAGACCGGTGACCGCGTCCAGTACGGTCGTCAGACGCGAGTACTGGTTGGCCGCCTCCAGGATCCGTCGGGCGTCATTGAGCTCCCTGGTCTTGCTGCTGGCGCCCTGGACAGCGACTGGAGTACACACACACAGCGCACGGTGAGGGCTCACGCACCAAATGAGGCAGAGGCAATGCTCTAACACCCGTCTACCCCCCTTCCCCATTGAAAACAAATATTGGTGACAAGATGGTAGTAGTTATTGCCACCCTTAGTCGGTTAGCAGTAAGCTCCGACCATAACGACATTAACTATATGCTCGAGACCGAAGTCTGCCAAACTGCTTCATAAAGTTATCTCCCATTAAACATACGTACGATAAAAATACGTAACGATACCAAACGATCTGCGGGCTGCAGGTATGAGTGTATGACCACAGAATACGGAACCTGCTTCACCTTATCAGTAATTCAAAAATGCCCGGAAAAAATCGGGGGTATCGGGCTGGTGCGGCGCTAAGTCGCTGGTGCAGCGATGTGTTACTGGTTAAGCACGGTGTCGCTGGCGCTCCACGTACCTTGTTCAGCAGCGATGAGCTTCTGAAGCTCGTCCACCCTCTGTCGTTTGGAGGCCAGTCGGTTCCCGCTGGAGGCCCTCGGGCTTCGGCGTGGGGAAGACATGGCCACTGAACTTCACTAGACACCGTCTGCCAGAAGGAAAACGAAGCTCTCAATATGTTTAACGCACAAACTCGAGCACATTCACTATTGCAGCATCATCAAGCAGCATGTATCTGCTCATAGTGCTACCATGCCTGTCGACTTAACTATCCCAAATTAAATACTGCAGCCTTAAGCACTTCAAAGGTGTTAAATGTGCGCCGCAGGTGCGAGCACAAAAATTACCAGGCCTCTCATGGTGTAGCAGCAAAGGAACAGCACTTCAGCATCGTGGTAAAATGATCCAGTCACCACTTGTCAGTAGGGTTGCAACGCATATTTGTGGGTGGGCGTGTCAAGTTCTTCACGCTTTGAGTGAACAAAATTCTAGGTATCTATGGCATGTCAGTCAGCCAATATTTCGGCTAAGCAACAACACAGGAAGACAGTTTGGCATTACCCTGCAGACATTTTAAACTTGCTTTTGTATTGCGCCATTAGTTCCTGCTTACTCATTAACATTTCCTCCTTTCCATTCTTAGCAAAATTGTTATTTATTTGTCAACATGGTCATCAACACGGCTGAAACTTGCACATATAAGCAATTACTGGCAAGCAAACTGTAGGGTGCTTCAGCTTCTGCCACTGTCCCAGCCTCACGATTCTTTGTATTTTGAAAGCCCATCTGACTTGGGCCTGCTGTTTGGTTGTGCTCCAATCTAATACTGCTCAGAAATGTTGAAATGTATTTCTAGATGAATATTATAAGCATGATAATCAGATGGTGTCCTTAAAGGGACTATCCCACCTTCTAAAATGTTGTTAAAACCAGTTAAATTGTGCCCGACTTTATAGATTGGATGACCAGGAACACGGTTCTGGCATTTATTTTTCACTAAACATCTTAGGCTTCCCATATTCCAAACACAAACATTCAAATATGTGACGTCACAGCCCAAAATTACCTCCTTCCCCAGGCCACATTACTGTCATAAAGCTGATTCTTTTTACTCTGTAGGCACCACAACAAAGTTCAGACCAAGTTTTAAGCAATTTTTCAACGAACAAACCCATTTAAATCAGAATGACTAAACGAGGTGACGTCACACTAACGGTCGCTCCATGTTGAAGATAGGGCCTTGTACAAGGCCCATTTTCAAATGAAGGGAACAAATTTCTTCAACACCAAGAGGCCGCGGGGGTTGCAACCTAGATAGATAGTGGTTTCTGAACCTCGCCGCAAACTTGGCTATCTCAACTCAAACCCCATGTTAAAGGTGGGATAGTCCCTTTAATTACTAAATTAAAAAACACAACATTTTCCATGGTACCTACTAGACTGAGTAGGTAGTAAGTACCAATCAATCAAGCTTCATAGGTAAAACTTAACCCATCAAATATCTAACCTTCAATTGCTGAGCTTATCCAGTATCTCTATTATTGGGATATTTCAATCTATTGATGGTCTCCACTGGGGGTTCCGGACAAAAAGTCAAATGATAAAAGGTAAAAGGATGATTAGTCAACAGATATTACGTCAAAAGCAAGAAGTCAAAAATCTTAAAAGTCAACAGGTAAAAGGTCAACAAAGAGGAAAGTCCAAAGGCAAAAAGTCAAAAAGGATAAAACGTCAAAAGATAAAAGGTGAAATTGCCAAAAAGTCAATGAACAAAAAGTCAACTAGCATAGAAGTCAAAAGATAAAAAGTCAAATGGACATAAGGTCAAAAGACAAAAAGTAAAAACGGCAAAAAGTCAAATTTCCAAAAAGTAAAAAGGACAAAAGTCGAACGACAAAAAGTGAACAGGACATAAAGTCAAAATCCAAGAAACCAAAAGGACAGAAAGTCAAAAGGACAAAAAGTCAAAACACAACAAGTCAACCGGGCATGAAGTCAAAATAAAAAGTCAAAAGGTCAAAAAGTCAAAAAGACATATAGTCAAAGTCCAAAAAGTCAAAAGGACAAAAATCAAAGGGACAAAAAGTCAAAAGGACAAAAAGTGAAGAGGACAAAGGTCAAAAGACGAAAAGTCAACAGGACATAAAGTCAAATTATGAAAAATCCAAAGGAAAAAACAAAATCCAAAAACTAAAAAGGTCAAGTCAAAGAGACAAAGTCAGTGACACCTGGATCATCAGTCATTACATACATGAGATAACATTAACAAACAGCTGTACACAAATAAGCAGGATGCTGCACAATATAACCTGCATCATTGGACATTGAAGCGAGAGTGCCTCCATTGCGCGACTGATGGGGATTCCCATGGCCCGCAACCGCGACTCAGCTGGTCACACGGGCATGCTTGGCAGAAATCGCTGAAATCTGACACACATCCGTTGACACTTACGTGCTAGGTGGGAGCTCGCTCGCATCGTAAGGTTGTCATGAGGCAGCGTTACATGATCCTTCGAGACAACTGGCAGTGCCAGGCGCAGTTTACTGCAATTGTTTCAACAAATATAGTAACCCAGAATGTTATCGATACGGAAGGTTCGCTTGTTCAAATTTCCTATATTGTGTAGGGAGACGTTTCTCATCAATTGATTCCGTCACGGGTTCTATTAGCGATTTCACACTTTTTACGAGCGAGCGAGCGCAGCGAGCGAAGTGAGTCTTTTCAATATAACGGAAAAATCTCAGTATGAGCGGCCCGGCCCGGCCCGGCCCGGCCTGTAACACTTTTGAGAGACTTATATCTCAGCAACCACTGGACCGATTGGCCTGCGGTCTTTTTTGTTGGGTAGCCCCATCCCTTCTACCCCGTAAATGACTACTTTTGATACATCTCAGTGACCGTCGTGGCACGTGCCACGTGAAAAGTCAAGGGTGTTCAAGCTGTTTTGCAAAAGTAGTGATTTTGAGAGGCTCATATCTCAGCAGCCGCTTGGGCGATTGGCTTGCGGTAATTTTTGTAGGGTAGCAGCATCCCTTTTACCTAAAATAGGATACGCCCGATGCATGTGGGTCACCCCCAGTGCACGTGCAAAATACAACAATAAGAGGTGTATTTTGTTCCCATTTTAATCCGCGCCCTGCTGGGGGGGTGTTTGAACACCCCCCTTGTGTTTTTTCGCGAATATCTCAAAAACGGCGGCGCGGAGCGCCGCCGTTTTTGGTACACTTTATCATACATCAATTCTACACATGTTGTTAAAATTTCAGACCAAGGTCATTCAAGGTCAGGTCACCAGGTCACTTGAAGTGACTTCACCTCATAAAACTTTCAATGTCTGTCATAGCTACACCGAGTGACCGATTGCTTTGAAACTTTCAGCGATTGCTAAAGGCAATAGCATGTACAAAATGTATATCTCTGAATTTTGATATCGATGACCTAAGGTCAGGTCAATTTTGCGACCTCGCCATTATAAGTCAATGGGAGAAAATTGAAATGCGCCTCTTTTGGATGCAAGACATTATAAACACTCCCAAACACCGAATTACAAGTGGTTTAGACACACTGAACATGAAAATGGTGTCCGTGACCCTTGTTTATGCCCTGAGGTCATCTTAGGTCACGATTGGTATCTAACAGTTTTTCGCAAATAACTTTTGATAGAGGCATGCTAGAGCGATGAAAACGCCTTAGATGTGTTCAGCTCGACGATACGGATCGACTGATATGCAACATGACCCTTTCCGGTCAGGTCATGACCTTGACCTGAGGTCAAATTTTCAAGTTGACCTTTCAAGATCAAGTTATAGTTCATTCGATGCGTCTTGACGAGAGGAACACGATGCCGGTAAAAGTAAGCTCGTACAAGGCTTGGGTCAAAAGTTATTGCAGAAAAACTGTTTTCGAAAAAAATCGGCTATTTTTGCAGTTTTTGCCCCCTGCAGGCAAAACCGTTGACGTTAGGTCAAATCTGAGAGAATTACTCAGAAAGGGCGTTAAAAGGGCTATCGAATGCGCTTTTCCGCGCCGCTGTAGCTCTATTGGTTCCCGAGTTATGCGTTGGCTTCTTGGAAATTTTCGACATTCGACCTGGAAATCGGCGAAATTTTGCCTTCAATGACCTCTGGTGACCTGACCTTTGACCTGACCAAAAAATTGACTAAAGTGATTTCGTCATTATTTTTGACGCTCTTTCGAACGCCGCCTTCCGCGTATCGCTACGTGGCCCAGGAGCCGAGTTACAAGGGGGGGTGTTCAAACACCCCCCCCCCCCCCCAGCAGGGCGTGGAAATCCAGGACCCCCAGCCGGGCGCGGGTAACTCGGTAATTACTGGGGCGATTTCGCTGAAACTTGGCAAACAGGTAGGCACCCACCAGACAATGCATTCCCATGTGTTGCGGTTAAGGTGCTACTGCACGTGCGCACGTGCAGGGGGCGCTTCCAGATCTCGAGAACGGCTGGGCCGAGTGCGCTCAAATTTGGTACACGGTTGGGGACCAGTTAGTAGGGTGCCGTGCAAAAGTCAGTATGGACCCCGTTTGCACGTGCGCACGTGCAGAATGCCGCTTCCAGATCTCAGGAACGGCTGGGCCGATTGCGTTCAAATTTGGTACACCGCTAGCGACCGTTAAGAAGGGTGCTTTGCGCCAGCCCGTTGGAAGTACCCTCTCGCCCTTCTGCACGTGCAGGGCTCACTATCTCGCTCGCTCGTTCTTCGCCCAAAAGGCGTTCTACTGGTATTATAGTTCAAGCGTATTGTATGGTACAATTGGTACAATAGTAAAGCGCGTCGTTTCTTTTAGATAGGTGGAAGTTGGAACGAGAGGCAATTGTGTGATTGTCGGATTGTCCTGCCTTGAAAGGAACGCTCATATCAGCATCAACAGACAACAACCTGTTAATATTCACGGACTGCATACAATTAAGATGACCAATTTTCATCGAAAGGTACGGACTGCATACAATTAAGGTGACCAATTTTCATCGAAATGTATAGGTCAATTAAGTTATCGAGATGCGATTGCTAAAAACACAATTTTTTAGGACCTCGGAGCTGTGACGTCCAAAGAGAGGTGACAAGTATAGCGCATTGTGGCCACCAGTTACTATCCCTCTCCTTCATCTTCGCCTCCGCTCTACGTCTCCT